ATGGTCAGACAGACGTCCGAATTCAAGTCGGACATCGAGTTTAGAGTCCAAATCCAAGTCCGAGCTGGTGGTAAATTGTCAAAACTGTTGGCCGGCTGCTGCTCTTGGGGGCTCTTGGCCAGTTTTCCAGTTTGACAGGCCGACAAAGGTGCGGCTCTGTTGTGGGGCTGTGGAGCTGTGGATCTGAGAGAGCGATCGGGCCTCGGCTTAGTTATGGCAGATACAGCAACAGAAACAAAAAGCTGCCTCAAATCCCTGACGCTTTTAAATTGGTTTTAGTTTTCCTCGCTTGTCCGTTTCCCTGTTTCCCTGTTTGCCAGTTTTTCAGTCTTCCAGCTGCCCAAATGTCAAAGGCAATTGTCATGGGTGGATCCGCGAGAGTCTTTTGGGCGTTGCTGGCAGCCTCAGTCTCTCGGTCTCGCTCTTGAGGCAACTAAACTTTAATTGCAAACCCACAAAAAGTGCCCAAAGTCTGCGATCCATGGCAAAATGTTAAAGTTGAAGGCGGCTTGGGTTGTGAGGGTGTGTCAGGGTTTTGGGGGCCAACAGAGTACACACCAGAAATAAAGCACATTATGCATCTAAGGTCGATCTATGGGAGAGGTCTGGGTCTGCTACTGGGACTGGTCTGCGTGCGTGCTGAATGAAACATGCAAATGAGCGACTGCCACCGCGAGTGGCGCGTTGCAGGAGAGGAGCAAACATTGCGTATACGAAGCGTTGCACTGAGCCCAGAGCACAATTCAATTAAGTTGTTCGGGAAATTGGCCACGACTACGTGTTGGATTTTCCTCACTTCAAGCGCACTGAAAGAAATGCTTGGGCAAAGAAAAGATTCCCATTTGCTATGGATTTTAATTGAAATATAATCTGGCAATACAAACCCACAGTTCCTCTACCCTCTGACCTTCCCCAAGAGTTTTGTAGCCACGCGAATCTGTTGCCTTGAAGTTTGATGGGAAATAATCAACTTTCTTTCTCCCCCTTCACTGTGCCACCAATTTCTCACAGTGTCATGTTCTTGGCTTTTGCAATGCAAATAAATCATCATGTCGATGCATTTGAGCCTGGCTATGTGGTACGTGATACTCGCGCACCTTCGTGTCTGCCGGCCAATTACATATTTGTCTTGGCTCTTGGGTCTGTTCTGTTCTGGCCCAGCCTGGCCTGGCCTGGCCTGGCCTGGCCTCTCCTCTGCCCTGCTCCACCCTGACGTGGCCTGGCACTGTTCGTGCCTGACTGCTCCAGTTTCCCATGTAGTTCTGGGTCTCGTCGTCTCCTCCATGGGGGTATTACCGTGCGATAATGCCGCAATTCATCATTATTCTGTAGTTGTTGGCTCTTCTCGCTTTGGTTTTTTTTCTTTTACTCTAATGAAAGGGTGTTCCGCTCGTTTTTTTGTACGAGTACTCGCAGTACTTGTTACATGCGGGTTGTTCCCTTCGTTTTTTATCCGCTCTTTTTTCTGATATATTGGCAAGTCAAGTAGTTGGATACAAGAAATAAAACAAAATGCCAGGCCGCTGGCACTGGCACTGGCATTAGCAGTTTGCTTTAGCTTTAACTTTAGCGGTACTTCCGCCTAATCTCGCTGCTGATTCCCCATTGTGGCCACCATTGCATGCCCCAACAGAGAGATTTAGGGGCGTGGCTGGGGCCCCAATTAAGCGTTAACTGATTACAATACCAACGGCCCGACATGGGCCGCCAGCAGAGATGGCAGTGCTTAAGATTTCGGCTCATTAGAGTGGAGTTAAATCTATAAAGGAAATAACAGCAATTGCACGGCCCCAAATGCCAATGGAATGCCAAACGATAAGCAGCAGACACTGCGATTTGGGCTCCGCTTTCTGCCCCTGCCCAGAAGTTGAGAGACCAACAAATTTGCAAACCACAAATTTAGATCAATAAAGAACACGCAGAGTGCAGGTCCAGAGTCAGAGCCGGAGCCAGAGCCAGAACCAGAGCCAAGCCCAAAAAAGGAGCTGGAAACAATGGAGCCCAAAACAACTGGCTGCTGACCTCAGAGCTGTGTGGGTGTGCTGAATGCATCTGTATGTGTGTGTGTGTGTGTGTGTGTTTAAGGCTCAACCCATTATGGCGCCTAACGTACAAAGAGCTTAGCAGGCGAGAGGCAGAGACAGAGCCAGAGAGTCTCTCCTGAGCTCTCTGACATTCAGAATGATTGCATCACGAAGTACAAATTTAAACAGCGATTACCCCCAGACTCTCCTCTGTCCCTTGCTCCCTTCTACTACTCCACCAGCACCCCCGCCTTTGCTGTCCAATTCTTGGGAAGCAGAGGAAGAACAGAGGAAGAAAGAGAGAGAGGTAGCAAAAGAGCGGATCTTCCCCAGCAATTTCTATAAATGCTGCTAAATGCCTGATCGGCCGCATTTACGTGGCCACAGAACGGGGGGGAAAAACCAAAGGGGAGAGGGGGAACCAAAGAATGCCGACTATGATTAAGTTGCTGGAAAATTATAAGTTTCCTTTATGTCGCTTTAATTGATGCCAGCTCCGGATGCAGAGCGGCTACAAGGAGCGTGCGACTCCGCTCTCCTCCACTTCGTGGCATCAACCCGCATTCATGCGGCTCGTTAGCAACATGTTGCAGAGACAGACACACTCGCCACATACATACGCAACATGGAAATCGCATGTGTAAATATTTTGATGGCAACTTTATGATTTATTTACCATAATTATATGCAAATCGGGCAAATCGTGCGGCAAGCGTGCAATTTAATGCGATTTTTCTGTAAGCGACGCCAACGGACAGTCCAATGGTCAGTCCAGCGGACAGCCCGTGTGTGCCCGTGCCTCATTTGCCACCTCCAATCCATCTGAGACCCACTCCTCCTCCTACTATGCCATTTAATGCTCCAACGACTCTCCACTCAACACGCAAATTAATGAGTTGTAACTAGAGTCGGTTGCCAGCAACAAATTGCTTTTGTGGTTTGCTTGCCGCCGCCGCCGCTGCCGCCCCTGCCACGCCTGCCACACCAGCAACATGTTGCACACGCTAATTGAGGCAACATTGCAGTGACAATTTATAATATTTTCATGCGGTCTGCACCACTGACTCTGTGGCCTGTGTTGGCCAGGAGTAGTGGGGGGTGTATGTGTCCGTGGGTAATTGAGTGAATAATTGTAGGAAATCGCAATGAAAAGTGCAATGCAGATAAATGGCAGACTCCACTTTAGAGCATCCATTGCCATTCTCGGAAATTCCCATAAATCTCTGATGGATCTTTGACTTTTCTTGCCTTTCTGGGGAATTATTTGCCAGTATTTTATTTTCAAAAATAATTATATTTCATTGGAATTCAACAAGAGGATGAAAGTAATTTATTGCGATCTTCAAAGGTTATCCTCTAGTCGAATGTTGTCTGCACATTCACATTCCAATTGTATATAGAATGTTTTCCATTATCTGCTGCAGGGGCAGATAGCATCTGATTGAGGCAATTCTTATACCAAAATGACAGCTGAAAGTGGTTCCAAAAGTTATCTGAATAACTGTCACGGAAATGCCAGCTGCCTACCTACAGATCCAATCCATTGCATAGCCGCTTGATACGCGACCAAAATCGTATCACTCTGTTTATTGGAGCTATGCTATGGCTCTTGTTTGCACTGGCAAAACACTTAACGACATATCAGACAAAACACACAGAGGGGGGACACAGAGAGAGAGAGAGGAGCAGAGTTGAATGGAATGGAATGAACGCACCTGGGGGGCACTACAATTAGCTCGAGTGCCGCCTCTACCTCTCTGGCCACTTTTAACTCCGCTTCCACTCCATTTATTGATTGCATTCTATGCCTATGCCTGCCCGTCTCTGGGTATTCCTACTATCTGCGATGTACTTTGAATTTGCCCCAATTTCGTATGGCAGAAGCAACAGGCGGCAGTGTGCGTGGCTTGGGCGTGGCGCACTAATAAGGCGGCAGCACTCTAATTGGAGTAAATTATGTTTACACATTCGGCCGCCTGCAATTGGGTCACAGCGCCAACCAGATTGAGTGGCGGAAGAGGGGTGCTGGGGGTTGAGTGCTGATATGAAATGCATTTCGTGTGTTCGAGTTTTACATAATTAAGAAGGTTGCGTTTGGGGCAGAAACTAGAAACTGGAAACTGGAAATGGAGCTGCAGCAGAGAGGCTGCAATGCAGAGACCGGCCCGACCCCGTGTGCGGTCTGTTCTTCTCTTTGATTGTATCTGCTGCCGGGATGCCGAGAGCCGAGAGGAATACCTAATTAGGTTCTCGCGCTAATATTTATGTTCTGTGACTACGAAATGGAAATGGAAAAGTTATCTAATGGGCTTAGGTAGCATTTTGTAGCATAAAAATGTCAGCAGGAAGTGGCAGAGTTATGAGTCGATTTCCAGACCAAGATAATGCTTCTATAAATACAAAACACACACAGCAAACAGAACTCTCGACAGGTTTCCACTTGGAGATACTCTTTCACCGCATCCATTCGGATGAGTCACATTACTGTGGCAATTGGAAATGGGAATTGCAACGGCAACCCACGCGCGCAAACAGATCGTCCCCCAATTGGGGGCAGAGATCGGGAAAACCAGGCATCATTCTATGTGTTTTTGTGCTTGAGCTCGAGTCGGGAGGGGGGTGGCATTATGCAAAGATAGATGTCTGTACCCGTATTGCCTTTGTGCAATTAGAATCAGCAGTGCCTGGGGTTTTTCCCGACTCGAAAGGCCTGTAAACAGACGGGAGAGCAGCGTCAAGCTCATCTCAGCACCACACCGCTCAACTGGTTTGCCAGATTGTTCTGCTGAGCGGCTCTCCCATTCCAGCATGTAGCATATTGTATATGCTAAAGCCACAGTGTTCTGGACCGGTTCTCTCTCTTTCTGTGTGTGTCTCTCTCTCTCTCTGGGGCTGCTCTCAGCTCTGCTCCGATCTGCGATTCGCAATCATCTCTAAGTCCGAGCTCGCCTCTGGGAATTTGGCGTGATCAGTTTTACATTAAAGCTGCAATCGTGCTGATCGTCTCAGCACTACGCCACAGTAGGCCGGACAGCGACAAGGAATTTGTTCATATTTATTTGAATCTAGTGAACAAAACAGAAAGAACAGTAACGGGTCAAGCAGCTGAGATAACAGAACAAAATGCCAAGCAAATGCAGTAAGCAGAGGAGGAGATCTCTTTGGGGGCACGATCTGTATTCCAATTTCGATTCTTTCAGTAATCCTGCTGCTACTGGTGTTGGGGCCCTACCTAATGGCTGCCCAGACCTATCCCCGCACATATGCCATCCCCATCGGACTGCGATTCGGAGGTGCACTCGCAGCTGCACCAACGGCCAGAGCTCAGGGCCAGACACTGCCAGACAACCAACGTCCGCTGGAAGAGGCCCCGCTGCCGGAAAACAGACAGCCCCAGACGCCCGATGACCAGAGACAGCCACCCCAGAGACAGCCGTTAAATGTGCTGGGTGCCAATGCGGTACCCCTTCCCACCGTATCCAACAGTCCCGCGCGACCGCCGGCCAAGCAGAGCTTCAAGGATCGCTTCAGCTCGAAGCTCTTCCAGCCGATCGCCAGCAGATCGCAGAGGCAGAATGTGGTCTTCTCGCCGGTATCGGTGCACGCGCTGCTGGGCATGATCTATGGCGCCTCCGAGGGTCGGACCGCCCAGGAGCTGCAGCAGGCAGGAGAGTTCAGCAACGATCCGCTGGCCGTGGGGGCGGACTTCCGCCAGCTGATCAAGCAGAGGCGGCAGCTGCAGAACGCGGAGCTGACTATGGTCAGCCAGATGTTCTACAACAAGAATCTGGGGGGTATCAATCACGATTATCCGGATTTCGCCGACTACTACTATAACTCCGGCATTGAGGCCGTGGACATGGGCCGCTCCAGGGACACGGCTAACGTGATAAATGCCTGGGTGTCGGACGAGACGCGGACCAAGATCCGGGAGCTGGTGAAGCCCAGCGACATCGATGGCCAGACGGCGGCATTGCTGGTGAACGCCATTTACTTCAAGGCTCACTGGGCAAACGAGTTCTCCGCCACGGATACGGTTTCCGGCAAGTTCCGGCGTGGCAGCGGCGCACCCAGCAACGTGGCCATGATGTTCAACGACGATGTGTTCGGCTATGCCGATCTGCCGGACCTTGGCGCCACTGCCCTGGAAATGCCCTACGCGGACAGTGAGGTCAGCATGCTGATCCTCCTGCCCTACCAGGTGGATGGCCTGGCACAGCTCGAGCAGCAGCTGGCCCGTCCCCAGAACGATCTCAATAGGATTGCGGCACGCCTGCGCCAGGAGACGGTGACCATTAGGATCCCCAAGTTCCGCATTCAGTTCGAGCAGGACATGACGGAGCCCCTGCAGCAGCTCGGCGTCCGGGAGATGTTCACGAGCAGCTCCAAGGTCACAAAAATGCTTAACCGCCCCGTGCGCGTGTCCAAGATCCTGCAGAAGGCCTTCATCGATGTGAACGAGGCGGGATCCGAGGCGGCCGCTGCATCATGTGAGTACTCCCAAAACGATTTCCCAGTACATGGTTCAGGACTAATTAAAACTCTCTCTCCCTCCCGCTAGATGCCAAGTTCGTGCCACTCTCCCTGCCCGTCAAGTCGCGGGAGTTCAATGCCGATCATCCGTTCGTGTTTGCCCTCCGCACTCCCGACTCGGTGCTCTTCATCGGCCACGTGCTGCAGCCCACGGCGATGGCCTGAGAATGTCCCCCGTCTCATGCAAACCCGCGACATACCTTAGGCTAGAGATTGATGCATTTGTGAGGCATATAATAAAGTGAAAAATACTCATATTCCTGGACTGAAGGAGAACTTCAATGCGATAACCTTTCCAGTCCACAGCCCACAGCCCCCACCTGCACCTTCAGATCGTTACGACTGCGAATCCGATTCCAAAGCGCGCGGGGCGGGTGCCTTTTCCCGGCAGCGCACGTAGATAATCATTCTGTTGCTGATTTGGATTCAGAATTTCCAGCGATTGCTGTTTGCCCGCTTCTGTAAGTTGGCAAACCCGTTTGGGGACCCAGCCACGACTCCAGCTGCCTGAAGTGGCTAGCTATAAATAAAAAGCGAATTTCTCAATCATTTTTCAAATCGAGCAGAACTTCCTCATGCGCACTACAATACGTACGAGTATATCTGAATCGATCGAGAGAGAGAGATAAAGCCAGCCAGAGAGAGGGGAAAGCCCGAGTGGCAGCCGTAAGCGAGATGAGTAATTGGAATACCCGCTGAAAGCTGCGCATAATTAATAGCCTCGACTCAAGGTTGCCACTGCACTCGAAGAAAAAAGGGGGCTTAGAAATGTATATACTAAAAACTATCATGGAATAAGGCTCGAATTTATGGCTGAATATTTATAGCTTCTTTTTCTTGGAGTGTACAGAAGGCATAGAGAGGCAGAGGCACTGTCTGTTCTTGAATTTATTTCGAGCAGTGTGCGATAATAAAACTGGATAGAATCACTACCTCCCTCTGGCTGGCTGCCTTCTCTCTTAAAGTTTCTCTCCGAATTCGATTGTGTGGCTGTGATTGTTGTTTGTTCTCTGGCTCTCTGACATGACAGCCTCCCTCCCCACCCTCCCCACCGTATCACTACAAGAATTTCAATGCCGAGCTTTTGGCTTCACAATCAATGACCCACAGAGACAATAAAAACAATCTGTGGACCGGCTCAATGTCTCGAAACATTTTGAATTTCCATGAATGAGCGCTCGTGATCGTGTGACGACGCTGCTTAGTTGTGTGTAAACCACTGGATCGATCACTAACTACGCAAAGCCAAAGCTTGGAATAACCATAGGTAGCCCCCCGCACCCCCTAAAACTGGAAGCAATGATCAATACCCACTGGGGACGACTCCCCCGCGCCATACCTCTGGCTGTGATACTGACGCTGCTGGCTATCCAACTGCTGGCAGTCGGTGGCGAGGCCTCGGGCAGTCCGGGAGATGCCGCAGCCAGTGCCTCCAACTATCGCTTTGGGCTGCGACTCTCCTCCAGACTGGGACGGAGTCAGCCCAATGTCAACGTCGCCGTCTCGCCCATCCTCGTGCAGACGGCACTCGGCCTACTGTATGCTGGAACCGAGCCCGACTCCGCTGCGGCCAGGGAGCTGCGCGAGGCACTCGATCTGCCGTATACGGGCAGCCCGCGACAGTCGCTCAATGGTCTCCGGGAGCTGCTCTCCGAGCTAAAGCAATCCTCTGCCGTGGGCTGTCGGCTGCGCCTCCTCAGCGACTTCTACACTCTACAGCGCTTCACCTTCAACTATCGGGATGAGTTTCAGGCACTCGCCAACCAAATGGGAGTCGGCAGCCATCGCCTCGACTGGGAAACCCCCGCCAGCGCCGCACAGGCCATCAACTATGACTTCCTTAGCCGCAGCAACTACAGCGTGGGCGAGTTGGTCACCGCTTCGCAGCTCGGGAGCATCTCCGACAACGACACGCCCTTCGTGCATGTGTCGGCGGTGACGTTCCGGGCACCCTGGGCCCAGAGCTTCGACCCGGACGAAACGCAGCGCATCAATTTCTTCAGCGAGGGACAGCGGCCCAAGTTGGTGGAGGCCATGTTTGGGCAGCATCGCTTCAGGTATGCGGAGGTAGCCGCTCTGGACGCGGAGCTGATCGAGCTGCCCTTTGCCACAGCCGATCTGCGGCTGCTCCTCATCTTCCCGAAGCGAGCGGATGGACTGCCGGAGCTGGAGCAGCAGCTGGGCAAGTACGATCTTCAGTATCTGAGGGGGCAGATGAGTGAGCGCAAGGTGGCCCTCACACTGCCCAAGTTCCAGGTGCTGGTCCACGCACAGCTCGCCAAGGTTCTGAAAGAGGTGAGGAAAGGGGGCATCTCCGTCTGAGAAAGAAACTGTGTGTGCCCAACCCATATTTGACTTTGCAGTTGGGTTTGAGGAGGCTCTTCACAGCGGAGGCTCAGCTGAGCGAAGTCTTCAGCTCGCTGCTCGCCAGCTCGGCCCCCCATCTGGGCGAGATGGCCCAGAGCACACTGCTGGAGCTGCAGGAGGCGGGTGGCTCCGCTGGCGATTCGTTCTGTAAGTTGACTGCTCTCCGGTTTGGTATCCAGGGAAGCCTCTCTCTTTAATCAGCTGCTGTCTTTGCAGCCTTTGGGGATTTGTTTCGACGCGCCCTGCCCCTGGTCATCAATCATCCGTTCTTCTACGCCATCGGCAATGACAAGACCCTGCTGCTGGCCGGCCACATCGTCGACATCTGAGTGCCCTCCGCCGCCGTAGCCGCCCTCGCCACCGCCTAATGTATATTCAATGCGATTCACTCCAGCCGGAGGAAGGCCACACTGGGGTTATCGTCTTATCAGACCCTGCTCAGCTCAAATCAGTTTTAGTTCGTAGCAAAATAAACGAAGACCAAAATAAGCCAAAGGTGACAAATGATTTGTAAATACTCCATGCCGTGTGCGCCTCTCAGAGAGAGAGCAACGCAACGCAATTGAATTGAATTCGGTGAGAATCGCAGCTTGGACAGCCTCCAAGGCGGATCGACGTGCGACTGCCTGTTCAGTTCATATTCCGACGCGATCGGGTCTCAAGTGCGAATCAGTGGAGGAGCCGCCGCCCCATCAAATCAACCATTTATACGACATACACATATAAATTCAAGCTACAACGGCCACGACCATGGCTGTCATCGTCAGCTGCCTATTACGTAAGCCCCAATTTATACGCTCATACGATCTGGTTTTATGGGTTCAGAGCCACGATATTTCATCCAGAGAAAAAAAACCCAAAGAGAAGGCACACTTGAGGGCCGAAACATTTAGTACCCTTGCGGACACTGTCGTGTTTATTTTCTTATAAGCTTATTAACAGCTTATGATAAAGGGACTCGATCCTAAGGGCTACTGTGGGGTCACTCTTAAAATATAGGAGCAGAAGGAAATTCTCACCAACTAAAAAACTTCTCGCTTGATTCCTTTAGTGTTCCTTGCGAGTCTCTCGCATGCAAAGACCAACGCGGGCTTTGATGCCTCAATTGATCGCAATTTGCTGGCCGCTGATCTCTACAATGCGGTGGGCGCGGATCATCTGAATGAGAATGTTGTGATTTCACCGGCTAGCATACAGAGCTCCATGGCATTGGCCTTTGTGGGAGCCAAGGGTCAGACGGCCAGCGAGCTGCAGCAGGGCTTGAGGCTGGGCCCTGGGGATGTGGACCAGGTAAGCCAGCGCTTTGGGAGCTACCAGCAGTCGCTGACACGCGACAACAATCTGCGGCTGGCCAATAACATCTACATCAACGAGAACCTGGAGTTCAAGGGCTCCTTCCGGGACGTGGCCCAGCGCCAGTTCGACTCGAACATCGACAAGCTGGACTTCCATCCGCCGTACAACAAGCGGACAGCGGAGGGCATCAACCGAGGGATCGCCACCAAGACCAATGGCAAGATCACCGACATCCTTGCCGCCGAGCTGCTCAACGATCGCACCGAGGGCGTCATTGTGAATGGAATCTCCTTTGCGGCGCCCTGGATGAAGGCCTTCAAGCTGGACAAGACCGAGAAGCGCTCCTTCCGCACCGGCAACGGACAGTCCGTCCGCGTTGACACCATGTGGACCCTGCAGAACTTCAACTATGCCGAGGTGCGCACCCTGGATGCCAAAGTCGTGGAGCTGCCCTACCAGAACGCCGATTTCTCGATGCTGCTGCTCCTGCCCAATCGCAAGGATGGTCTGAGGTCCCTCCAGCAGTCCCTGGTGGGCAAGAATCTGCTCGCGGAGATCGGAGAGATGAGCCAGCATAAGGTGGAGGTGCAGCTGCCTAAGTTCAGCGTTACCTTTGGCCTAAGCCTCGAGAAACCCTTCAAGCAGGTGAGTTTTTATGCCGCATTTATCCACCCCCCCCATAGAAGTACAGTATTTATCCATCTCTGCCGTATAGCTGGGTGTCCACACCATGTTCTCCCGGGACGGAGACTTTAGCAACATGTACCGCATGTTTGTGAGCCACTTCATCAATGCCGTGGAGCACAAGGCCAATGTTGAAGTGTCGGAGGCGGGCGTCGAACTACCCCTGGAATCAGGCGGTGAGTAAAACGATTCCTCAAAGTGTCTTCTGTCTCTCTACAACCGCAATATATATGTATATATTTATTCTCTCCCAAAAATAGTACTCAAGGGCCTCTTCTCGAGGTCCAAGAAGTTCGAGGCCGATCATCCATTCGTGTTTGCTGTGAAGTACAGGGACTCGATAGCCTTCATCGGGCACATTGCCAACTATGCGTATGTCTGAGGCGTACTCTTGCATATTTTATACTCTTTGTTAATTACACTTATTGTTGATAAAAACAGCTAAGTAAAAGCTTTTTAAAAAGCCACATTGTGGTTGAATTTACAATAATAAATAAATTAAATTCTTGCGAAAAATTAACCAACCAAGAGAGGTGTCAAGTGTTTTCTTTTGATGTTAACTAATGAAAAAAAAATAAACGTCCACAAATCTGTGAGCCATAGATAACTTTTTGGATGACATGTATTCAGTGGAACTCGTTTAGAAGGAACTTGCAATATGATTTTTTTTGTTTCGGTATTTCATGAATAAAAACTATAACAAGAAATCTACATCTATGTATTTCGCTATGTATTTTTGGGGGCAAACTCACCTCTCTAGCTCCATGGGCATCTGATTGGGTTTATCCATGTTGGGGATTTATCCTTGTTTTGCTTATCTCTGGCGTTTTATCAGCTTTTGCCTTTTGGCTTTGTTTTTCGCTTGATTTGCATTCATGGGTATCTCACTGGTGATTGGGGAAAACACTTGGGGGCAAGGGTGGGGTGCAGCATATATATTTCTCCTTCGGATTTATTTATTATCGTATTCTGTCGCTGCTTTTCTGACTTTTCTGCTGTTGCTGTTGCTGTTTCCTTTAATCGCGGACATAAATCAACAAAAGCCGCACAAAACTGACAACAATTTGAGCTTAGGCGTATTTATTATTAGGTTTGTTATTTTTTATTTATTTTTTGGCTATTACTTTTTTTTTTGCCGTTGTATTTCTTGGGAGAAACATTGGCGGGATTGGAGGCGGAGGTGGAGTGTGCCTGTCGATTGGTGGATTGGCATTAGAAACTGGTTCGCGGGCCCGAATTACGTTTGGCTCTTGGCGGGGCTCTGGCTCTGGCTACCATTCGCCTTAATTGTGTTTACTGCTGGGGATCTGTGTTTGGGGGCAAGTCGCACAAAGTGGTGGACATTTCGCGCTGATTGGATGTCGCACTGTGGCAGGGGCATGCACTGTGGCAGGGGTACTGCAACAGGGGCATTAAGTTGACCATTTAAAATAATTGATGCACATTTTCTTACTTCACCAAAAACACACACAAAAGCACACACACAGACACACAACACACACTGATATGCATACACTCGTATGGTTGCGGCTACTTGCTGCATATATGTATATTTATTTTTTATTCATTAAAACTCCTTTGGCAGTAGCACGGGACGGTGCACACGCAAGCCTCGGGCGGTTGGGGAGATGTTGAGACAGCTGCCCCGGATCCGATCCTCGCCACTTGATAACAAGGCCTGGCCAAAACGCGGGGGCAGTCGCCGTTTGCCGTTGCCGTTTGCCGTTGCCGTTGCAGTTGCAATAACGTTTCTTTCGCTCCGTTTCGCGCATGCGCAGCATGGACTGTTCAACGTGGGGCGAGAGCGCGCGCGCGTGATCGTGTCTGAAAGCAGACTGACGGCGCGCTGCGATCGGCCCCAAAGACGAACTCCAATCGGGGAGTCGTCCGCCGCCTAGCACGCGCTCTTACTGGGGGTCGCCCTCTCTCTCTCTCACAAGTCTCTCGCTCGCTCTTTCGGCAGTGGAAATACTGGTAATTGCTGAACGATGGATAGTGGGAACACAGCCAGTTCTTCGCTCCACAAAAGTATATTAAATCAAGGGCTGGCATTTATGCGCGCAAAATATAAAATGCAACTGTCGGGGGTACTGATTCACCTTATATGAATATACCTTGCCTCTGCCGTTGTAATTGTAATTCCTGCAGTGCTCCCTCTTGGAACGCTTCGCATGTGGCATGTCTCCTCGCGAGTGTCCGTCCGTGCCCGTCCCTTTTTGTTAGAATTGTTTATGTGCGCCCTGACAAGTTCTCCCTGTTTCTTCTGTTTCTCCTTTTCTTTCTTTGTTTTCTTGTTTTGTGAGCGGAATTTTAAAATGCTTAACCCCTTCCCCAGTGCAACAGCAGCAGCAGTGCAGCAGCAGGTGCAGGTGCAGGCGCAGGCGCAGGCGCTTTTAAAACAAATGCCAGAAATATCTCTGTCCCTGTCTACAAGTACTGCCGCTCCAGAGAAGGGCTAGGCTAGAGATCTTGATCGTTTCGTTTGGACAAACAAACTCGTTTCTTCGTAGATCTGACAGTTCATTTAACTAATCCCAGATCCTAGACGGGGCCTATCGCAGTGGGGAGAATAATCCAACTAAATCTTGATGGAATCGTTGATGGAAGGAAAGGGCATACAGTGGTCGTATTACGGGCTTTCGTTCAAATTTAATTTCTCCACACTTTTTAAATGTTTTTTGGGTCGCACGTTCTGGTTTTCAGTTTCGAGTTAAATATTGCAATTGACTTCCATAATATTCATTTATTGTTTTCCACGCCTTTAATGTTTATTTTTAGCTTTCGAGAAGGCCAATAAAAGAGACCCACTGCACACAGGTCGCTGTAAACATGACTACGTTATGAAATATCACAGAAATCTCTCCTGGACGGGCACCCCACAGATCCCAAGATAGAGGGTTAAGTTAATACTCACACAGATGCCCCATTGTCCGGCGATCGTTAATACTAAAGTGGTTTTCTGTGACTTGCATTTATCATAATTGGATTCTTTAACCCAGTATAATGGATTTGGCACGGCTGGAAGTCACGCCTGCCACTTTGGAAGAACCTTCTAGTTTTCAGAATCATTTTCATGGATCGATCGAACATGCAGCTCTTTGCAGTTCTCCTCTTTGGTATCAGCTAGAAATTTAATGGGATTTTTACAAGATTTTATTGCCATCCTTTATTACAGTATTAGCCCTCATCCAAGTGGCTACACCCGAATCACTATGCCTGAACACCTGTCCGACTCCCGATGGCAAAACAGTTTGTGCCTATAACGGCTGCTTCTTCAACACGGAGTTCTGCACCATCAAAACGTTCAACTGCCATCGCCAGGTGAAGGGAATGAGCGGTAAGGATCGAGGAAAGCCAAATCTAGTGTCCATTTCCCTATAGCAGAGTTTCATTTCAGTGGTGAAAGTGGTCTCTGAGGGAGTGTGCAACAACGAGACCCAAACCCCATATTGCACAACCGTGACCTTTTAGATCTTGTGGAGAGCTTTCAATTTATTCATTACTGAAGCGATTACAAATGTATTTATATGTATGAACTGATGATGATACATGTATGAATATATCTAAAACTTGACAATGTGTCCGGTAAAGTAGACTGCATGCTGGTCACGTATGATGAACACAAACGGATGATCTGCCACAAAGGTCTTGGGATCCAGGGGCAGTGACATGGGCACCCCAGCGGCATCTGTTGGCATGGAATATTATGGGGGATAAACCAGGAATGGAGGGGATTATACAGGCTACTACTTACAACTGGCTCCTGCTGCCTCGCAGCCGATCTCGTTCACATCGATGAACGTCTTGTGCTGCACCTTGGTGATGCGAGTGCCAATGGGGGAGTCCTCGAAGATGTTGCTAAAGTCAGCCGCATCCGAGAACATGGCACTAATGCCCATCTTGGAAATTGAAAGAGAGACAAATATAAAGATGAGGATGCATTGGCCCATCCCATGCCATTTCTCTTACCTTGCTCAGAGTGGGCTTCAGATCAGTGTCGAATTCGAACTTGAATTTGGGTAGATAGACGGACACGCTCTGCCACTGCCAGCGGTCCTCGAGCAGCTTGAAGTCCACGCCCTTCAGCTTTTCCTCGAGGGCGCGCAGCCCGGTGCGCTGGTTGGGCAGGATGAACCACATGGTCATGTTGATGTTCTCGAAGAACAGCTCAATGGCCTTGGCGTCCAGCTCTGGGTAGTCGGCGTAGTAGTACCAGTTGTCAGCGAACATCGTGGGCACCTGGACGGACTGGCGCTCGCCCAGCCAGAAATCGCGGTCCCGAGTGTCATCGTCGTTGAAGGGCCTCGCCCAGCGGGCCTTGAAGTAAATGGCATTAACCAGAGCCACGTTTGTGTCCGGCTCCAGGCTGTCCACCACCCGCTCAATCTTTTCCTGGGTCTCCTGTTTCACCCACGCGTTGATGCGGTCAACGGCCTCCGTCTCGCGACTGAAGTCCAGTGCCTCCACGTCTGAGTCAAAGTACTTCTGGGCCACCTCCCGGAAGTGGGGTGCGACCTTGAGGTTCTCCCGCGTGTACACCTTGTTGGCGATCTCCAGCACAGTCTTGGACTTGATGTAGGAGTGCAGCAGCCGGTGGTAAGCTCTCGGCCAGTCCGTCCTTGCTCTCCTTGGCCGAGGCGTGCAGTGTCTTCTGCAGCTCCGTGGCAGTTCTGCCCTCCGCCCCGTAGTAGGCCAGGCCCAAGGCCAGCTGGATGGACACTGGCGAGATGATTACATTCTCGTCCTGGCGCTCCGTGGCCAGGGTCTGGAACAGTTCCGTGGCGAACAGATTGCGCTCCTTGATGGTGTTGCACCGCCCTCCGGGTACAGACAGCACTCCAACTAAAAGTAGAACTGAGAGAAGAGGGAGAGATTATAGGGATCGGGATGTGGTGTAGATTGTGGTTGGGGCGGCAGAGGCACTCACAGGTTAGCCAGCGATTCATTGCGCCTGCGTCGATAAGTCGAGACTGAAAGGGAAAAGCGCCTGGAACCTGTCATTTATAGCCGCGCCAGGAATCACGGCCAAGAGGAGCGCCAGCAGAGGCAGTGACGGTAACAGAGGCAGCGACATAGGCAGCGACAGCAGCTTAATGCACTTTGCATTGCAGGCAGAAGAAAAAGAACAAGCGACGCAATAAAAGAAGTAAAGAAAGGATGGAGAATGTGAGCGATCGGGAAGGTTCTGGCAGCAACAGCTGAAAATACTGGGAAGAGATAAAGCGAAACGGGGTCTTCCACATGCTCTCCACGCACGCAAACTCACTCTCGCTCACTCTCGCACAATCTCCTCTCTCTCGTCTGCAATGCACTTGTGCGCAAGGTGTATTAAATAGGGTGAAGCGCATTTCCGCTCTCCCACACAGCAAAACAAGCTACGAATTTATTGCGAGAGCGTTCTCTGCGATTAGCCTGACCCTGTCTTAATACCCTTTGGACGTGCACTTGAGTTGCCTTTTGCACTTGTGTCTCACCTCTCGGGATTTACTCTTCTGTCAAATTATTTACATGCCTGCTTGGAGAGCGATCACAAGAACCAGAGAATAAAAGAGAGATGGGGAAGAGCGGAAGAAGCAGTGGCGCAACAGGGTGGAGGAGCGTACGTACTAGATGGGGATTTCATTAACTCTAATTTCTTGTTCGAGTATTCTCCACCTCCCAGGAAAAACACCTTAAAATGCCCCTGTTTTATTGCCTCTGAATTTAATGAGTTATTTTCGTATTTGTTTAGATAATGCGTCCATAAACAAAGGTTGTGCATGGAGTTGGGCAAGGGGAGAAACGAAAGCAAACAGAGTTGCGCATAAACTGTTTATCGGAGGGGTAGAGGCCCTGCCCTGCCCAGCACACACATAATGTATTTACGAAACCCCAAAGATTGAAAAGACCCCAAAAATCGAAATCACAGCATGCTCAACGAGCGTATCAAAGGCCAAAAACGTTAACCAATTTTTTATCATTAAAAGGGCGCGCGGGTACCGTTCCAGCTACCTCTCTGTCCTTATCTCTTTGCCCCTCTGTGGTATCAAAAGTCCCGATTTGGGTCCAGGTTATTTATGCACATTTTGTGTGAAATGCTAATAAATTTTAATGGAATTTTAAAAACATGCTTTATGGACTCGGGACCCGCACTCCTGCTGCTGCTGCTGCTGCTGCTGCGGCTGCTCCAAAAAGGAACAACGAGGATGACTCTGGAAAAAATTGAAGTACCTTTTATATTGTTCTGCTGCTTGGGGTGTCATAAATTGGCAGCTACCGTGGGATGGATGGGCAGCTCCTGCATTTGACTGATGGCTGGTGAGATCTTGCAGAATTACGTTACAGATACATATGTATGGGTGGATGTATTCAGATATTGCATAATTACGGTATAGATATGAGAAGTGAGATGAATTGCGGAGCTGATCGGAGCATTACGCGGCACAAAAAGAGGCAAACACTTTCAATCGATCGCTGGGGATCGATCGCACTGGGGAGAGATGTGAATGTGGCTGTGACTGTGGCTGTGGCTTTGGCATCCTTCCTTAAAAGCACAAAACCAGATTCGGTTTAGCCTTATATAATTTACAACTACAAGATTGTTTCTCCGAGTGTGTGTGGTGTGTGTGTGTTTCTGTGTTTGTGTGTGAACCGTCTCCTGGCAACGACCGCAGACCGATGCTGACCGTTCTGATTGAATGATTTCACTGATCGAGACAAAACATGTTAAAGATCGTGAGATGCTGGGCCGCAAAAAAAGCCCTGGCTCTTGTCTTTATAGATACACACAGCAGCAGAGCGAGAGAGAGGCACTGGCCGGGCTAAGGAGGAGAAGGCATCATGCAACGGCAGCAAAATGCTGCCGCTGTTGATAAAAATAAACTTGGCAAAAAACGTCTTCTTGTTCTGATGCTCCTTCCTGCCTTCTCCATCTCCATCTCCCTCTCGTACACCATAGCCAAAGCCAAAGCCCCCAGTCTGAGCCCCAGCCAGAGCCGCAGCTTGGAAAAGCATAAGAATGATGAGGCAGCAACACGAATTATGTGATCGCTGCTGCATCTCCGCTCTCTTCTTCGCCGGACGCTGCTCTGTGTGCGTGCACGTAACCCGAAACCAGTTGATGATAGAGCAGAAGCACAACTCGGGGCACAAAAACTCCCCAAACACCACCGAAATAAAAAATAAATAAATAAATACAGAAATAACAAAAAAACAATGGCATCAATCGCTCTCCACTGTCCCTTTGTTCCCACTGCTCCCAGCCCATTCCCATCACCCTGCTGGTGCTGCTGCTTTTTATAAACAATAAATTTGCACATAACTAAAACAGAATACTCGAAATTTGCATAGTATCGCAGGAGTATCCCCCAGGGGGATTAGCCCTGTCCTGGATGTGCGTGTTCACAGCCCGAACAATTGATGGTCGAATGGTATCTCTGGTGGTGGTGGTGCTGGTGGTGCTGGTGGGGTAGACACTCATGATGGGCAGGTTGTGGGAGAACAGAATGGCTGAGAGTTCCAAAGAAGGATTTTGCCACTATATAGCTGGTATTCAGCTTAGTAACAAAATGTTACAAAATAAAGAGTAAATATCATAATAAAATAATTATGATATATAAAATATTTTAAAAACATAATTAAAAGCACTGCTGCTGCTACTGAACAATTTTCGTTGAGTTAACACATTTCTGGTAGTAAAATCAAAATCGAATATGGTTTCTATTTGTTTATTTCTTCTCCTAATAAACAAAAAATAAATATAGCTTAAAACGTCTTATCAGTGTTGGTGCAGAGTAACTTTCCCCATCCCATCAAAGCCTCAACATAACTCAACAACTGATGTGATTTGTGCATCAGGTGCTATTATTTATTTCAATATATTTTACTGCTCATGCTGTATATCCTCAGAGGCTATGCTTTCGCTACTCTTTAACTGGAAGTAATTCAGAAAATCCGCATCCGACTTGACTATCCGACCAGGCTGACATCTTCTAAGCGGTTTGACCGCCACTCAGGTGACTCCACCTCGCTGCTCCCCTCCCCCTAATGCGAAGACAACTCTTCGACAAGCTCGGTAATTAGCTAAATGCTGTGGCCCAATCTAATCGACGGCTCGACCGAGGCACTTTAGTGAAAACCGCGAGGCGTTGGCCGTGCCGAAAAACTTTCATTCAAATCAAGCGGGGCACTTGCAGCGTATGCAAATAGAAACTTGCCACACCACACACTACTCGACAAGTCAGGCACAAGACACGCAGCAGAGTTCGATGCGGACTAAGAGTCGGAGATGGAGATGGAGTTGGAGTTAGAGTCGGACTCCAGTCCAAGTCCACTTGACCAGGCGACAGAGGTCCAGTCACTGACAGGGACAGACGCCGCAGCAGCAACAGCAACAACAACAGCACGGATGACACGTCAATCTTGCGCTACCCACTTGGTGCATGCAACATGGAACTGGCTTCGCCAATCCGAGTCGCTCTAGCCGCGACAAATTAAGCTGCAACGACTAGAACGACTGCTTGTACTTCTCATTAATTAGCACTAAAATAGGCAACTAGGAGAGCGGGCAGGGCGCAGGGCAGGAGGCGGCTGGGTAGACGTAGACCCTAGGCAGCCTTTCGTTTTCTACGAAATCAGAGACATCTATCAGGAGGAAACATGCCACACCATGTTGTAGCCCGTCCGTTAAGGCATCTGACAGCCGCCTAGGCAGTCGATTGCTATGCCCAAAGTGGGCACTGAGCAACAGAACAGACGATCTCCAGACCGATCGAGCGATCGAGCGGTGATCCATCGAACCAACTAAATCGAATTGAATTGAATTGGAGAAAACTATGATGATGATGATGAGGAACGTTCTCGATATGATGGACAACATATCAATTCATGTAATATTTGGGCAACCTTCGACGTTCATTTGTCTATTGAAGAGGAATGTGTCCATCATAAAATGTCAATTAGCTGATTGAAATCAGCTCTGGGGCAATTATTTTAGACTCAGTTTATGGCCAACGGGATGTGGCAGCGGCAGCGGCTGCGGCAGACCAGCCGCAGAAGCGACTGCCACAGAAGTCGGTGCCACGGCCCAGAACAAATGACATGATCAAGATGCCGTTGCCAGAGGCTGCTGCCGCACTCCAACTCGGGCTGCACCTTCGCCATCTTCGCCAACCAGCCAGGCCAGGCCAGCCATTTCTATTCCTTTTCTTTCCTGGCCTTTCGCTGGCGCTGTGCTGTGCTGTGCTTTGCGGCTCTGGTGGCGTACTTTATGTAACGATCCCCATTCAAACGGCAGCGGGGGCCAACCACATTTTGCATTGCAAATGCTGTCTTTGAAGATGCATTCGAAATGGAAATGTTTGGCCAAAGCACACGCTCAGCGGGAATGGCCATGAAGATAACGATGATGATGATGGTGGTCCTGGTCCCATCCCATCTCAACCGATCCCACCTTAACCCATCCCCATTGCAGCTCCCAGGCGATCATCCTCAACAAATGACGCTGTCTCCTCTTGTTGCACCTCCCCCGTTTCTCCTTTGGAGTATGCTAATTTGCTTGTCAAAATGACACATCGATCAGGTCGAAAGGGACGAGGAGAGAGCGCCATAAAATGTATTGGATTGGCCATCTCCCTGCGTGGTATGCAACTCCATTTCCCGTTTTAGCCTGAAAGTATACCTTGTCGCTGACAGTCGATTTTCAGCGACAATGGAATGGAAACAAAGAAAAGAGCGAAAAGATAAATAAGCAAGATGAGCGAATAGACAATAAAAAGAAGTCTTATGTAGATAGGCAGAAATAAACTAACCTTGGGGTCCGAGGCTTTTGATACCCTTTCACCTTACCTCTAGGACCCTCTTGCATAGAAAAAGATCTGTCTTTGTCTGTCTCTGGAGAGCTGAAATGAATGAAAATACTTAACAAAGTTTGAAGCTTCTGATATTTCTAATAATACTCCTCCAAGAAAGGGTGTAAAGACAATGGCCCCAGTAGTAGCATAGCCCAAATTGAACTGTCCATCAGTTTCGCGCAGTTTTTGCTCCCACAGCGAA